CCCCCGAGCCAAAAAGTTTGCCCACCCCTGTCTTAAGGGCACGTCCTGCCATGTGCTCGCTTCCAAAATACAAGACCCCCCAAATCCTCACCCACCCACCCCACTTAAAACTCACCCTGGGCTTCATTTTTCTTTAGTACGGTGCACTTAGCGCATTGTTTTTGCAAGAAAAATAAAACTGCCCAGCCGTGAGCCCCTTTCACTTTGACCTTCTCAGGTGAACATGATCGTCCTCTCCAGGGACCTGGGCATCCCCAAACCGTTTGGGCCCATCATCGAAGGCGAGTGTTGCTTGGAGCAGTACGTCTCCTCCTTGCTGGAGCTCCTGGGGCTGACCTGCACCTTCATCGATGACATCTCCTCGTACCACAAGCTCCTGGGAGAAGTCCACTGCGGCACCAACGTCCAGCGGAAGCCGTTCGCCTTCAAGTGGTGGAACGTGGTCCCGTGAAACGGGGCGCTGCCGCTCCCCGGGAAGTCAAGAGGGGTTTCAGACACACACTTTGACCCTCTGGCCGTCTGGCTTGACCCGCGAGAGGGAGGAATCTGGGCGTCTTTTTGCATGCCCGCTTGAGAAACTATGCGAGTCAGCAGGTGCTGTGGGGGAAAATTGTTGGTCTGGACGCTGCAGGGAAGCATGCTGTGTCGATTGGACCCAAGGAGCATTGCAAGGCCCAGTCGGGTGTCTTGACAACTTTTGCGTGTGGTGTGCGTTTTCTTTGTCCTCCCTAAATTAACCTTCGGCCTCCCGCTTTTCTTCCTTCCTTCCCCTAATGTAGCCAAGACAGAGCCCCTTCGGCAGGGGGAGGGGGTGTGTGTTTTTACAGCCTCAGCTTTTGTTGCGGGGTGGGGGGCCCCACTTTGGAACAACAGGAATAAAAAACGAGGCGACAACGGTTGCGGCATGACCATGTTTGCAGTGTGTGGGCCAGGAGGCGTTTTGCAGAGTGTGATGTCCTTTCTTGGAAGATTTGCAACGATTTGATATTTTTTATTATTCCTCGAACATCATTTGCCGCTACTATTAAGACTCCTGAACCGCCCCCCGCCTAAAAAAAAAAAATCATGCACCATTCATACAGCCAGAATAATGACTTGGGGGGAAGTTGAGTGATGGGGGTTTGGGGTTGAATTGGAAAGCTCTGCCGCTTTGGATTGGAAGGAGACACAGCTGTTTTCTGAAAGGGTTGTTTGTTTGGAGTGGGAAAGAACCAAGGGAGGAAGTCACAGAGAGGCCGAAGACACGAATGCTTTCAGCGGAGGGGAAAAAACCTTTGTCGCTCCCAATTTAATCCCCCTAAACTTGGTTAATGTAACGTTGGGTCCTTTTTTGTAGCTCTCTCTCATGCTGTCCCGTTTGAGGGTTTGAAGTTTAGTGCCATTGTAGAAAATGAGATGATTCAACAACCAGGCAAAATGTCTTGTGTGAATGCAGCCAACACTGCAGGCCTTGAACAAAAAAGGGTGTTGCTGGATAAACCCAGGGGAATTTCCCTTTCCTTCCGACAACCGACATCTCGGCCAAAATTAAGCCAGTGCCTTAATTTTTGGGGTGCCAGGAAGAGACAGCGGGACAACAGGGGGCGAAGTGCAGCACAGAGGCGGGGTCCTAAAACCGCTTGGTTCTGGCTCCGCCTTCCAGCCCCCCCCCACCTCAAATTCATAAAAGATGAAGCGTTGCAAGAAAGCTCCGTTCATTGGCCAAACTTTTTTAATTGCAGACTTTTAACGGAAGAGCCACTGTTAAAAGGTTTACATCAAATGGTTCACCTCTGGCAAGGGAGCCCCTGCTGAACCACCCCCCTGCCCAAACTCATCCAAGAGCATTTTCCTCCACAGACACACACCCTTTAAACCCCCCCCCCAGCAGGGACCCCCCCCCCCCCCCAAAAATCCCACACATGGCATGAATTAAGCCAACACTGCGCTCTTGTGGCCATCTTGGAATGTCACATGTTTGGATCAAAAAGTTTGCTGTTTTAAGCACCAAGTCTGCCCTTCCCAACACTTGTATTCTGAAACGGAGGGGGGCAGGTCTTGCACCCAAGACAGCTTCGCTTAACCACACGGTGGGCTTTCGACTGGTCAGCACAACCCCCGTTGGCTCTAGAAGCTTCCCAGAACAGGGATTGATTAATCCAGCGGCCAGGTGCCAACAGGTTGCATTGAATGCCACCTCGACCCTCCGTCTCTGTATGTGGAGGCTGGCAAGTGCAGAACCGTTTAGCGCTGCAAACGGCCAATAATTCTAATTTCCCCCCCACCCCCACCCCTTTTATAAATAACACGCGCACCCTGTGCAAGTCACGACACAATCCTCCCGGCGAGAATTAAGACCTGTTTAGCCCTGTTTTGTTTTCTGACTGGTCCGCTTGTTCTCTTCGCTTTCACGCCCGGTTTACGAGCAGGAATTGAAACCAGCTAAGATGCTTGGCGTTCCTTCCCTCCCTCCCTAGTTTTGCAAAAAAAATGACAGGATGGGGAACTTTGGGGGAAAAGCATGCAAAAACAAACAAAAAGTCGCCTGAATAAGGCTGACAAAAAGACACCAGACATCCCTGCACCTTAAAACACACCCTGTCCAGTATATCCTTCCTTTTTTTGCATCTGAGAAGTGGCGAATGTCGTAGATGCCCGAGGAGGGAGTCCCAAGGCCGTCGTCCACGGAGCCGCTTCCCGCGCTCTGCCCTACAGGAAGGGTCACACCAGCCCGCCCCCCCCCCCCCCCGATTTGTTCACTCCGAGAAGCTCGGGACGATATATCCCTTCTGCCCGCGGTCGGAACTAATTCCGCCGTTCTGCACTTGGGAACATACGCGGCCAGGAGAGCCCTTAGATGCGGATGGTGTTGATCCGAAGCGGCTGCACGTTCTTCCCGTTGGCGTGGCTCTGTCCGGGGCTGAAGTAGGAGCAGAGTTTCCCGGGGAACTTTTCGCGGAAGGTGTAAAGCCAGGACATGTCGTCGGCGTTGTAGAAAATGAGCAGCCCCTTGGCGTAATCCAAGAAGACCCCGACTTTCTCCAGCTTGCTCTTGACGTTCAGCCGCGTCCAGGGCTCGGTGCAGGCGCTGTACTGGTTGCCGTCGTGCATGACGATGCAGTAGAAGCCGCGGCTAGGCTGGATCTGGATGTTGCCCTTGCGGGTGACGGCCTCGTGGGCCAGCCCGATCATCCACTGAGTCTTCTCCGAGACCACCACCTCCCAGTAGTGGATGCCGCTGTTGAAGGCCTCCGAGCCCAGCACCGACACCTCCACGTCGAAGCGCTTGGGCGAGTCCTGCAGCGGCTGCGGGTGCAAGTTGCCGTAGGAGACGAGGGTGCAGTCGTCGGACAGGATCAGGCGCTGGTGAGCGGTGGCCGGGTCCAGGGTCAGCGTGGCAGGCACTAGGGGAGGGAGGGAGGGAGAAGCCGGTCACCTGGTGGGGAAGAGCCAAGGTGATCCCTAGGGAGTATGGTAGCTTGGGGTTCTGGAAGGGGGTCACCACAAAAAAAGGCCATGCCAAATGAGATAAATATGGGGACTGAAGTCGCTGTCAAGGCTCTGACAATACACCCCCATTCAAGTTATAAGTCTCTAGCCACATCTCTCACAGTAAAAGAAAACGATTAGGAGTGACCATGTCGGCGTAACCTGGGTGCAGCCGACACTAAGATACATCACTCATTTCACCCTTGACCCTGGTCTTCCTCCCACCCCCTGGATGTATATTCTTCAATAGGACACATCCATAGCCAACAGTCATCAATCTTGCTCTCCAGTAATAATCTTGCGCACCAACAGCTTCGGTTGCCTCCAATTATCTGAAGCATTTAAGGAATGCGCTACTTTCTCCCTCCCTTTTCTGCCTGCAACTAAAAAGACCAAATAAGTTTTTTTTGTTTAAGTTGACAGTCCTTTGGGGGGGGGGGTTATGTTGCCCTTTGGAGGTTTGAAGGCCTTGGAGTGGATCTCCCCACCACCTACCTGGGCCAGGAGATGACTCACCTGGCTGGATATCCTGGAAGAGGGATTTCCAGATGGTGTACTGCAGAGGCCCCATGTACTTGGAAGTGGGGAAGTCCTCGTAGGTGAGGCTAGTTTCGTGGATCTTCCCCTTCAGCCTTGGGGGTGGGGGGGGGGGGGGGGGAGACTGAGGTTAGCCACTGCTGTGCCCTTTGCCCCGCGCCCTGGCTCTGCCCACCACTTCCACCCACCTCTCCGAGAGAGAGGCTATGCCTGCCAGGAAGGTGTGCTTGTCCGTTTCTGCCAGCCTTTCCTGCAGGATCTGGCTACCTTCCTGCACCTTGCGCAGCTGCAGGCCGTAGCGCTGGATCTTCTGCTCGATGTCGGTCAGCGTCCGGGCCGTGTCGGCCTCCAGCTCCTCCAGCATGGCCTTCTGGCGTTCGCGGAGCAGCCGGTGAAGCCGCTCAAAGGCCTCGCCGATGGTGGCCCGTAAGCTCTTGGCCGAGGACTGGGGAAGACAGGAAGGCTGGCATTGAGCGGGCCCTGGTAACGGGATGGAAATACCCAGGGTGGAGCCCCTGCCTGGCCCTTACCTTAGTCTCAGCCAGCTGGTGCTTCAGCAGAGCCAGGGCCTCCGTGTGCCCACGCTCGCTGTCCTGGAGGGTCTGCAGCTGCTCCTTCAGCTCCCTCTGGAATGAGACCGGTGTTGGAATGAGGGTCTTGCGGCAGTGCCTGGGCAGCCCCCAACTTGATCCAGGCAGGAGAGGGTGGAGACAGTGGGGCCCTTCCTCCCAGCCCCAGTGGGCACCCCCCCCCACTGGGAGCATCCACCATGGAGAAGCAGGAAGCAGCTACTCTGCAATGGGGTCAGAGCAGGGCTCCAGCTGGCCCCCATCCCAGGGAGGCAGGAGTGCCCTTTGGCCAACCTGGCACCCACCCCAGGGACATAGTAGACCCCAGCTGCGCCCACCCTGAGGAAGCAAACAGTCCCTTTGCATGGGGGGCGGGGAAGCAAAGCACTACCCGGGGAGGAGTACCCCATGACCAGCTTGGCACCACCCTGGGACCAGAGAAGACCCCGCCCAACTGCCCCCATGCC